CTGAACAAGATCTCAGATGAAGAAATGACGAAGTTCAATGTGCATGGTGTGAGAGTGGAACACAGGATCTTTGGTGAGGTGAATGGCGCTCTGGTTGTCACACCATACGGTGGGCGACTGCTCAGGGTAGCCTAACTCAGCGAGGAGAAAGGAGAGCCAGCGTGCCTCTTGAGCAGCCATTGTGCCTGCGTAGAGCTCGGCCTCACAGGACGACAGGGAGACTGCAGAGGACCGAGTGGAACGCCAGCTGATGACCCCGCTACTAAGAGTGAAGCAGTACCCTTGGGAGGAGCGTCTGTCAGTCTGGTCATCGGCCCTTGAGGAGTCTGTGTATCCCTCGAGCTTGACTTTAGAGGTACCTCGAGAGTGAGGACGTGAGACTTGGTGGCTTGTAGATAGCGGAGGACCCTCTTGGCTGCAGACCAATGCGAGGCAGTGTAGCGTCCGGGGGAGACGTACCGAGAGAGGACACTAACCGGGTAAGCCAAGTCTGGTCGAGTGCACATCATGGCATACATGAGTGAGCCGACTAGCTCAGGGTACGGGTCCTTGCAGGTGTCAGGAGAAGGAATCGGAGGGGCCGTGAGCTGATGCTGTAGTGGGAGTGGAGTGGAGACAGAGTTACTGGAGTCCATATCAAACCGCTTGAGAAGGTTGTCGATGTAGGACTCTTGGGAGAGGGTGATCGTGCAAGCCTGGCGGTCACGAGTGATCTCCATCCCCAGGTAGTTCTTGAGGTCACCAAGATCCTTCATGAGGAGGGCGGAGCTGAGAGCAGACTGGACAGCTGCCATGTCGGCTGGATCTCTGGCGGCTAGAATGAAGTCGTCGACGTAGACGAGGATGTAGAAGGGCTCGGAGGAGTGACGAACGAAGAGACTGGAATCAGAGGCAGAGGGATGGAAGTCAAGTGCGAGGAGGAATTCCTTCACCTTGTTGTGCCACTCACGAGGAGCCTGCTTGAGGCCATACACTGGGCGCTTCAGCTTCCACACTCTGTTGGCAGGATATGTGCCAGGAAACCCTGATGGGCGTTCCATGTGAACATCCTCCTTGAGCTGGCCTTGGAGAAAAGCGGAGGAGGCGTCCATGGACTTGATCTCGAAGTTGCCGCGAGCGGCTATATCAAGAAGAGCACGCGCAGTCGCGAGATTGGCCCTGGGCGAGAAGGTTTCAAAGAAGTTGAGATACTCCTTCTGGGTGAAACCCTTCGCCACGTATCGTGCCTTGAATAGTGGAGCTTCGCCTGGGAGGTGTTTGACTCGGAAGATCCATTTTCCGCCATCAAAGTTGTTGTTGCGAATGAACGCCTCGTTCTCCACATCCATTGCTGCCTTCCACTCCTTCTTATTAGGCCCCAAGAGAGCTTCCTCTTTTGTGCGAGGAGTCGGAATGGTTGGGTTCTTGGTGAAGTTGAGGGAAGGGTAGTCAGTAATGTCCGGGAAGATGTGAGAGAGAAATTGGTAGACCGCATGAAGGTCAAACAGCTCCTCATGCCTGTCCTCCATAAGTGCACGGGGGGGAATACGGATGGAGGGGACACACCTCCGGCAGGAGGAGGCTGTTAGAAATAGAATTCAAATCCCACTTTTGTATTTGTACTATTACATTCTAGTTTAGGTCATATCCTCCGCAGCGGCACCTCCTCCTGCTCCGCCTTCCCCACGCGTCGAGCCCGCCTCACCAGTCTCCTACCGGAAGCGCCCAGTCCCTCCGGTCCTACCCTAAAGATAACTACATAGGAGCCATAAGCGACCTGTGAATAGATATTCCAGCCCCTAAAAGCCTAATGCCGCGACATTACTAAAATGGCAAACAAACTCGAGTCAAGCTTGTGTTTCGTTTGCCCTATCTACTATGCCCTTTATTGCGACAGGTGCGAGCCTTATTTACTTCCCCAAAGAGCTCTAGTAATCTTGGGGGAGGTGAAAACGAGATGTTGTTGAGTGGCACATTCATGTCTATGGAGAGAAACTCAACCGCCTCGTCATATGCTCTCTGCAAGCCACGAAGCAAGGGGGAAAAATGTCATGTACATGCATGTTTGCAGTGAGGAGTATGAACCACAAACCCATACAGAAAAATGGCATGGACCAACCAACCTGATCGAATAAATCGAGGAATTTGTCGCGGGCATTCGTGGGGTGGGCGGATTTCCCGATGGAGAAGGCTTCAGACGTGATGGTGCGGTTCAACCGCTGCATCACCACCGGAACGTCCTCTGCCAGGTTCTCAAAGTGACCCACAAAGTCAAAGCGAATGTCGTTGAGCCGACACACGTCCACCTGGAGAGAAGAACGGGAGGGAGAAAGTACCGTAATCACCCGGATATAGGCGCATATGTGCTTATATTAGGTTCAAAAAGCAGCATGTGCTTGTAATCGGAAAAAAAAAAAAAAAAAAAAAAAAAACTCATGCGCTAATACGAAGGACTATATGGGGAAATGATTTAATTTAAACACACCAAAATATAGTTGGGTTGATTTGGGTTCCTATACAGGTCTTCAAAAGGGGACGCGCAAAAATAGCGCATGGAATATCTGGCGAAAAATTTGCCAGCACAACTAAGCTAGGAACGCAGGTTATGAACCAATCATAGGCAAGACAATGATCGGGAAACACATGAATCTCGCTGGCGAGGTGCTTGGGAGGGGTGCGAGAGTGCTGCGGGAGGTTTGGCACAGAGTTTCGATATGGAAGTTTCGCAATTCACCTGTTTTTTAGTAGTAATTCAATGTGCTTATAGGGAATCGATTTTCTTTAAAATGGGTGCGCTTATAATGAAATAACGGTATAAGCACGTTTGCACTCTATAAGCCCGCTGGGCTTAATAAATGGCCGCGCCTGTATCCGGATGATTACGGTAATGGAGGGGTTAAGAGGAAGCTCTTGGCAGCTTTTATATGAGTGGGGAGGTCAGGCATACATGCAAGGCTATACTAGTCACCTGAGAGGCACAAGAATGAGACCTTATAGACGCCTGAAATGCACCTGAAACCCACCTGGGGGGCGACATGAGGGTCCATGGTGCATCACCTTCTTTGGTTCTCAGCAGCCCCACACGGGCCCCAAACTGCAGCATGACCCCTCATGGTGCTCCACTAGACACCGTCTCTCCGTATTTGCGTTATGGGACCTTCTGAGGCGCCCCATCAAGAAAAGAAATCACACCCTCAACAAGACACCCAGGGGGGACAGAGGGTCTCACCTGAGGAGCAACATGGGGGCCGCCTCCGCCTGAACATGGTCCGCAGCAACCCCACAAAGTCAAGTCCCCAAACTGCAGCAAATCCGACCCGCGCTGGTGCCACACTCACTCAGGCATGCACATGAGGGGAGCAGATGTCTCTCTTACCTGAGGAGCAACATGGGGGTCCATGGTGCGTCGCCGCCTCTTGAACATGGTTCTCAGCAGCCCCACAAAGTCGGCAAACTGCAGCAAATCCGACCCATTCTGGTGCTCCACCAACCACTGGAACGGCCTCGTGCGTGGAAAAACCGCTTGTTCCAAAACGCCCGCCCCTGAGGGGGCCCCCCGTTCACGTGCTTGTTCAGATAAGCCGAGGCGAGGCGCGCAAACGGGTGGCGGACAAAGGTGAACTTGAAGAAGTCCGGGCGGGTGAGCAGCGCCATGACGCGGGATTCGGTGTATCCGGACGCGAGGACGTGGAGACCGGAGTGCTTGGGGTCGTGTGCGAGGTAGACGTCGGAGATGTTGGGGAGGTTATGCTGCTGGCGGAACCACACCTTCCAGCTCGTGCAGGCAGCCTTGGGGACAAAGCAGTAGATGGTCTTGAACCCCTCTGAAGGGTGGGAGCAGGGGGTGTGCAAAAGGGGCACTCAAGGACAGGTCAGCTGAGAAACTCTTTGGCAGTCATATTTGTTTCGGGCGTGTCCCCCGCGTGCGTTTCTCGCTTGAAACCCTACTCCACCATTTTAAGTCGTTATCAGTACCCCCCGCCCCGCACCGCAGAGAATCTCACCCAACTGGAAACAAATGTATGCCCGGAACGTGCCCTCATAATAGCAAGCGCGTTCAGCAAGAGAACACCTGCAGTGGAACAGCGAGAGAAGTAGTACTATTGGACTGTTGGAAAACTCACCCTCCATGAGGTACTGCCGCAGGAACCACATGTTTGTGAACGGCGGCTCTTCTCAGGTGCTTCACGCCAGCAAGGTAGCAGGGTCGAGGAAACAATGAGCAATGTTCCCTGGCAATAAGGGGCACTCACCATCCACGAGGTACTGCCGCAGAAACCACATGTTCTTGAACGGCGCCTGCTCTGGCGCCTCACACACTGACGGACCCACCACAAACAAGGATGCAGAGGAGGGGGAGGTGGTGGATGCAGCAGTGACCACAAAGGGTCCGCCATCATCGTGGTCACCCTCGGCTCTAGCAGGAGCTGCAGCATCAGTAGCAGTAGCACCACCAGCAGCGCTAGCAGCAGCAGCTCTTGCGTTCTTATTGGTCCGCGCCCTGGCTTGTGCGTGGATGAACAATGCCTCCACCGAGGGCCATGTGTGGATGAGCCCTCGCGAGGTGGACAGCAGGAGAAGCTCTGCCAGCTGCAGCTGATGGCACAGCGTTAGGTCTGGTGCAGTGCTGCTGCTGCTGCTGCTGCTGCTGCTGCTGCTACTGGTAGCAATGGTGGTTTCACTGCTGGCTGTGGTACCACTGCTACCTCTTCTTCTGCCGCTGCTACTGCTGTCAGCGGCCTTGGGATCCTCACTCCCCCCCTCTTCACTCTCTACCCCTCTGCCTCCACTGCCTTGTTCTGCATCTCCGTCCAATGCATCATCCCCCCCCCCATTCTCCTCCTCCCCCCTCTCCTCCCCCTCTCCTTGCACCTCTGCCTCATCCCCACTCTCTCTGTCACTCCCACTCTCCCCCTCTCCCCCTCCCTCCATATCCCCTCCTTCCTCCAGCACCCATCGTCTTCGCGTCCCCTTCGCCGGATTCCCCACTCCTCGCTCTCGCTCTGCTCCTCCCTGCTGCTGCCAGGCTCCTGTGTCTCGCCCTCAGGGCACTAGTTGCTCCCCCACAGAAGATCCTGCCTCACTGCTGCTTTGATGTGAAGAGCCAGAGGGAGAGGAGGAGGCAGAGAGAGGGGGAGCAGAGCGAGAGGGGGAGGAGGGGAGGGAGGGAGTAGCAGGGCAGCCAATGCTGATGCGCTTGATGGTGTGGGGGAGGAGGAGGGGGGCGCGCAGGGGGTGAAAGGTGCCAGCGACTGTAGCAGCGTCTGTAGCAGAGGCGGCTGCTACAGTGAAGTTCACGTCAGCAGAGTTGGAAGACACTCGCAGGTAGCGCCACGTCATCGTGCGAAGGGTGCAGTTCAGCAGAGGGTCCTCGGGGCACCCTCCACACGTGCCAGATGGCATCGCCTGATTTGCCTGTTAAAAAATCATGTGACAAATGAGAAGGGGATTTTGCTGAAGGTAACAAAAAGCAAGAGAATAGAAATCATGTAGATTTCCAGTCTTAAAACATTACCAACACAACATCTTCTGCAGGAGTTTCCTCACCTCAAGGTACACTGCTGTACTCGATTTAATTTGTGGAATCTTTATGTGTGTCGCTCACTGTATCATTCAATTTGTGGAATCTTTCTCATTTCAGGTCTTGTTGAAGCTCAAGCACAACCCCCCTCCAGCATTCGCACCCGCTGCCGGTACTGCTGCTGCTCCTGCAGCTGCTTCTTCCAAGCCCAGTTCCACATCGTCGAAGTCAGCCAAGGCAGCTGCCAAGTAGACTCCCCGGCTGTCAAATGACTCTGCCCCATTGTGGATTATACCTCATGCGAATTTGCGGCCAATCAGTTTGTATGGTTGTCTCAGGCTGGCTTCTTGATACTGGAAAAACGCTTGCACATAGTTTGATTACATGGAGTTGCACTAAACTTTACTATTTAATCATTCCACCCTATTCCTAATGGCTTGTATCAGACCCAACCATGAGTTACTGAATAAAGTGACTACTACCGAGTGATCTTGTAGCTCTGCACACAATGCGAGATGGCACGTAATGAGTACATGCATCAAGCAATTTCTGCATGACATATGAAAGAGGAACATACCTTCACTTGTGCTAGCAGTTTCTTTGCATCGGGGTTTGTCTTGAAGTGGTCTCTCACGGGCTGCACGGCAATGCTTGTCATCAGAAACGAGTAGCAACAAGCAGGCAAAAAGGCCAAGGAGGGAGAAAATAAATGTCTGGTCTGGTGGTGGGCTTACCTGGAGGATCCGGTTCAGTGCTTTGGAGAGGGCCAACTTGAGGTCGCCTGGGTGCAGTTTACCCTCTTTGTAGTCCGCACACAGCTGCTCCGCATCAGTGTAGATGCTGAAAGGGCAGGAAAGCGAGTTGCACGTGGTGAGGTGGAAAGGCAGAGTGGGGAGAGAGCAGTGAAGCAAGGGACATGCAGCAGTGTGGCAGGCGGTGACGAGAGATTTGGGCAAAGGACAGCAGGGACCAGAATCTGGGCCAGGGCAGTGACAGATTGTGAGCAAAGCAAAGCAAAGCCCAATGTACTCACGTGTTGCCTCCGTGCTCCTCCTTGCGCTCCACCTCAAACTGCTTGAACCAGGGCAGCACGATGTACTGCACGTAGGCAATGCACGGGTTCCCCTCCACCTCCCCTGGCGGACAGAAAGCCTTCTTGATCTTCACATTCACCTCCGCCTGACCAGAAAATATAAAGGACACAAGCCTTTTAGGCACTTATTGCAGTGGATAGTGGCTGTGGTGACATCGGCCTCCTAAAAAATTCATCAGGTAAATATTTTCCCGATGCAATAATGGCTTACCTCCTCGTCCTCCATGAAAATTGCAGAGTTTGGGTCACTCTTTGACATCTTCTCCTGCCCTTGCAGCAACCCAGGCAGCATGTCTGCGTACACACCAAACGCATTCAAACAGTGAGTGCACAAAAGAGTCATGGAAGTATGGCAGCAGCAAACGGACAACAAACAGGATGTAACACTGCCAGGAACTAACAGACAGCCTTTTACAGCACCGGAGAATGATAATGGGAGAGCTCAACCTGCACTGCTTACGGTGCGAGAGGATGATGGGCTTCATCTTCCTCTTGATGTCGTCGCAGTACTCCCTGGCCAACACGTTCACCTTGCGCTGATCCATGCCCAGCTGGCAGATGTCCGCCTGCCATGCGCACATGCAAGGACGAAACCAATCACTCACGATGCCGCATGGACCAGTTGGAAGGGAATTCGAGCCAACGAGCTTGGCTTGCCTGGCATGGCAAGTGCATGGCAAAGGTCAACGGAATATTCACATTTCACTGTTCTGAAAGAGATTTTCAGGCAGCAGACCTTGAGGAAGAAGATGTCGGCGCACTGCATGCACGGGTAGAAGATCTGAGCTGCCGACAGCTCGTCAGTCTCGTTGCGCCCCATGATCTGCGAGCACCTGCGGTACTCCAGGGGGGGAGTCCGGGTGAGGGAGGGGAGGGGAGAGATAAGGGGGAAAGGGAGAGGGGGCACGAAGGGGACATAGGTGTGCAGGAACAGAGGCCTGGATGGGGAAGAGGCATAGGGGAAGGCAGGCATGGCAGCTTGCTCGTCTTGGCAATACCCATAATCACTGGCCAGCAATCGCCTGCCTGGTCGTCTGCCTACCAAACCATCCCCTCTGCTTCCCCTCTCCCCAGCCCGCCTTCCTCCGCCTCCCCACCACCTGAGGTTCCTGGGGAGCTTGTTCTTCCTGGCGATATCCATCCATGGCCAGCGGCCAGTACTCCCCAGCACATCCACCCGCCTAGGCACGCTCCGCCTTCTTTCCCTCTCCTCAGTCCGCTCCCTCCTCCTAATCCCCCTCTCTCCCCACCTGAGGATCCTGGGAAGCTTGTTCTTCCGGGCGATGTCCATCACGAGAGGCCAGTACTCCCCGGCCCGCCCGTTGATCTCTTCAGACGACCAGAGGAACTCCACGCGCGTGAGGTCCATACCCACTGCGCGCCACACCTCCATCATGTAGCGACCAACGGTCTGGATCTTCTTGAGATCGCCGCCCATCTTGTTGTTCAGCTGCGCGAACCAGTCAGCCACCCAGAACTTGAAGATGCAGCCAGATCGGGTGAGCTTGTTGACATTGAGCGCCTTCATCACTCCCTGAATAGGGGAGGCACGGCACGGGAGGGGAGAGAGGGGGGGGAGGGGGGAGGGGGGGGGGAGAAGCGGGGGGAGGTTGATTTGCCTGTCTCTCATCACTCCCTGAACAGGGGAGTCAAGGGAGGGAGGTGGGGGGGATCGGGGGGGTTGTTTCGCCTGTCGTTCAGCTGTGCGACCCAGTCGGCCTCCCAGAAGCTGAAGGTGCACCCGTGGATTCCGTCAGCTTGTTGACGTTCAGCGCTTGTTGACGTTCAGCGCTTTCATCACTCCCTGAAGGGAGGAGCGGGGGAGATGGGAGGAGGGGGACGGGGGCGGAGGGTGTGGGGGGGAGGGAAACGGGGAGGTGAAGGAGGAGGGCGTGTTGTGAGGGAGGAGATAGGGATTATGGTGGGTGTGACTCACTGTGCGACGTGCGACTCACTTGAGCGATTTGCGACTCACTTGAGCGATGTGCATGCGACCGGAGGGTTCGAAGCCATCGTACGCGACGGGGTCTTTCTTCTTGAGCAGCAGGTTCCGCAGCTCGTCCTCCTGAATGCACTCCTCGCCCACGCTCCGCACCAGCGCGTACCGCTCGTCCAATGTCATCCTGCCACGTGGACATTCCAAAGAAACGGGCAGCATCAGCAATAACGACCCCCCCCCCCCCCCCCCCCCTCCCCCTCAACCCTGAACCCTCCTCCTTGCTACGGTTTCCTGCTTTGATCACGACAACCGAACCCGAATGTCTCGAAGCGAAAACGACGAAGACGAGGAAGAGGACGGTAGAGCATCTCTGGGGCCGGCGGGCGATCGCTCTGAGGACTGAAGCAAAAGCGCTGAAAGCGCAAGGGCCTGGGAAAGGACCAGCGGGGAGCAGGGGTAGAGCATGTCTGATCGCACCCACTGAACGACCCGGCGAGCTGATCCACGTCAGCAGCGGGAGCGGGAGCGGAGGATTCTGGCGCCGCTTGCGCGGCTGTCGCGGCCGCGTCGGACCCTTCCGCGGACATTGCGGGCTGGCGGGAATCCGCAGAAATTCGTTAGACGAGGAAGTAGGGAAAGCAGCTGGAAACTAGGGCCTCGTGAGTGGTTTTTATATTGAGGCTGGAGATGTCCTACTGTAGCATTCGGTATTCCCGAGGGCGTGGTTTGACGGGGCGAGCTGGGGGACTGATATCCTCGGCATGATTAGCTCGTTTGGCGCGTATGTCACGCCTTCGTGGGGTGGTTTCAATATTGTGGAACGAACCAACTAAAAGACACTAATCTTTAATCAAACATAACTACCTAGGAGCCATGAGCGAGCTGTGAATAGATATTCCAGCCCCTAAAAGCCTAATGCCGCAACATCACTAAAATGGCAAACAAACTCGAGTCAAGCTTGCGTTTTTCATGGCCTATTTATGCCCTTAATTGCGATCGGTGCGAGCCTTATTTAATTCCCCAAATAGCTCTAGTAATCTTGGGGGAGGTGAAAACGAGATGTTGTTGAGTGGCACATTCATGTCTATGGAGAGAAACTCAACCGCCTCGTCATATGCTCTCTGCAAGCCACGAAGCAAGGGGGGAAAATGCCATTTTCATGCATGTTTGCAGTGAGAAGTATGAACCACAAACCCATACAGAAATATGGCATGAACCAACCAACCTGATCGAATAAATCGAGGAATTTGTCATGGGCATTGGTGGGGTGGGCAGATTTCCCGATGGAGAAGGCTTCAGACGTGATGGTGCGGTTCAACCGCTGCATCACCACCGGAAAGTCCTCTGCCAAGTTCTCAAAGTGACCCACAAAGTGAAAGCGGATGTCGTTGAGCTGGCACACGTCCACCTGGAGAGAAAAACGGGAGGGAGAATGTGATGGAGGGGTTAAGAGGAAGCTCTTGGCAGCTTTTACATTAGCGAGGAGGTCAGGCATACGTGCAAGGCTATACTAGTCACCTGAGGGGCACAAGAATGAGACCTAATAGACGCCTGAAATGCACCTGAAACCCAACTGGGGGGCGACATGAGGGTCCATGGTGCATCGCCTTGTTTTTAAACCATGGTTCTCAGCAGCCCCACACGTGCCCCAAAACTGCAGCATGTACGACCCCTCGTGGTGCTCCACCAGACACCGTCTCTCCGTATTTGCGTTATGGGACCTTCTGAGGCGCCCCATCAAGAAAAGAAATCACACCCTCAACAAGACACCCGGGGGGGACAGAGGGTCTCACCCGAGGAGCAGCATGGACGCCCATGGTGCGCCGTCTCCACCTGAACATGGTCCGCAGCAA